GAATCAGATGGATGTCTTACGTGCTAGTTGAATGTTCACAGGAGTGTTTGCTAAGGCTGTAATTTGGAAGTGCATTGGCTTGCGTGGGTACGGTCGTTTTGAGAAAATTTATGATGCTTTTGTAGCTAGGTCTTCTACCCTCCTACTATATCATGTTTGAAGTCTTCTGCAGACTTTTGCGGACTTAACCTCCTCGTTCACAGGCTGGTGTGTTTATCAAACACATCATCTTGATTAGCGTTATTCGAATGGACCGGATAGGCTTAGGTTACTAAAGTGTGGCGTTTGGCACCACTTGAATATCTTGCTGCATTCGAGTGGCTAAGGATCCCACTGCCCTATCGCCCACGAGTAAATGTTGACTGGACAACAGTCCAGGGAGGCTGTATTCACCACTACCTATCGTTGTTCGCCAACCGAACTAACGACGTCTTTGCTGGACGTCCCCACGACACTTGTAATGGCTACTGCCAATGCTCATGGGACACGCTACTTACACAACTTTATGCGCTATCCCAACACACAGGCATTCCTCCATCGTTTTCCCCGACAAAATAAAGAACAAGACCACTTTGATCTCTTTTTCCTTAACAAAATTAATTGCATGACCTCTCATTTTTCTTTTACTTTTTATGCGCCACGTAGCTCTCCCACACTAACAGAAGTGGCCAAAAGCTCACCTCCCAATGGCATGCCTCTGTGAATTCGTCCATTCGTAGGCACACTCGTCCCTTGCTGCAGGCGAATAAAAGGCAATTGAGAAAATCCTTCTCTGCCTGGGAAATTACTAGCTACATTTAGAAAATAATAATGAGACAATAGAGGTAATTTTTTTCTCTTTTACGCAATAAACCTTTCGTTGGGCTGCACAATCAGGAAAATGAGCACAATAGGAAACATACTTTGTACCACTTATTTGAGTGACTTTGATGAATCCTCATTTATTTAAATTGGACTTAAGAGAAGGTCATCATTGCCTTGGAAAGTTGTCTTGCTTTTTTGTGGCGTGTAGCACATCTTTGGGAACTTTATGAGGGATGAGAGTTTAGGCAGAATTCCCCTGGAGATTCCGTAAGCAGAATACCACGCCGCAAAGATGCGTTGATCAGAGCCCAGCCTAAAAAAAGGGAATCCGGACAATTAAATTGTGCAGCTGGATATGACATTGTTTTGCTGCTATGATAAACTGGTGTTTGTGTGTGTGTGTGTGTGTGTGTGGGCTTGAATTTCATCAAGCTCCTAGCCGGTACAATCTGAGACAAAGACGTCAGTGCGAATGTCCTTGTCCCGATTTTTACTAGTAAGTTGGACGTATGATGGGTGCGTACGCGACAGCTAAGTAAGCCTTGGAGACTTAAGGTGATCTCGTTTTCGGGTATTTACAGTATTCTGCTTCACTTTGACCTCACAGGGATTGATGGCACGGTTGAAGTGTACCTGTACGTGACATTGATCAATTAGCGCAAGTTTCACGGAAAAAAAAAGTTGTCATGATCGTCCGGGTAAATTCTCTCTGGACCTGACTACATTATTTCTGTCTTTTGTTGTTACAGTAGCCCATTAGGCACATCTAATCATCATCTGTCCTTTCCAAGTCGAAAAATCAGCAGACCTTCTAAATAAATTCCTTTAATTATAGATTCTCTTAAAAGGCGGCTTATTTTTAATTCAGTAGTGGAAGCCATGTGAAAATGGTAATGCGAGTAGCTTGCTATATCCATTCATTCATCTATCTCTTATTTAGAAGCAATCAGTCAGAGTGTAATGTCTTTTTCTCTTTCTGCTTGGTAGTGGAACATACCACCAGTTTTTGTTTTGCGGTTCGCAGATTTGTACCATATCTACTACTTGAATATTTCTGTAATTTGTTTCAAGCTTCGTGTGGTCCTGTTTGTTAAAGCCACCACTAAGAAAAGTAGAAGGGTAACCAACCCAAATAGCCCTTTCTTCATTCATATTATCTCTAATCATCAAGAGATTAGATTGCATAAATCTTCTCATCTCCCCTCCTTTCTAACCTATAGGTTAGTTTACCTGTTGTTTCCACTTACTACGAAAGTATATCGAAACAAAGGAGCCGTCACTCTGAACTGAGAAGTAATATATCGTAATAGTTTACTCTCGGAGTTGTGTGTTGCTGATTCAAATTCATTTCGATGGGTAAATGGATCTAATGTGGGAATGCCATTTGGCAGTGGTCGTGTCGGTTCGCTAAATTCAGAGCCCTCCAAGTGCAATCCCTATTTGAGAAAAAAACTGCGCAGATTTGACAGCTAATTCGTAGTCTAAAGAAAAGTAATTTTACTTGACACTCAAGGCCACGGTGGCAATTCCCTTGGGCATTTGAAAACCCTTCAAGATTTGTACATCAGACCTACTTTGCGCAAACCATGTTGTTAAACTGAAGATACTTTGCGTTCTAGTGTTCCTCAAAGCCGAAGGTGGCTTTTCTTCACAATTTATGCACAATTTTATAGTTATGAAGATGGGGTGCCACCATCGGAGTAAGTCACGCAGCAAGTAGGCGACAAATGTCCTGTCACAGGTACCAACGGCGAAGGGACGTGCCGTGGGGCGCTTAAGCCGGACACCGCTAATGTAAATGGCTGTTGACAGTGGGGTAGTGCTTTTATGTGTGGGACAACGTGGCAACGAGAAAAACTTTCTGAGAAGGTGAAGGAGAGCGTGAAAATCCTACTTGTTATTTGTGCGTAGTTGAACGGTTCGTAAATATGCTTGTCAGTGATGATGCCTACCGCAATGGTTGGGTTTCCAAAACAGCCTCAAAAGTCATCCTTGCGAAAACTATGTCAAATCTTCTTAAAATAATTGCAGAGACAAATTCTTCTCTCATTGGTAACCATAAAGTGATTGTTTATGATTAATAAAACTGGAAAATTTTAAAAGCTATGATGGCTTTTCATTTTTGACTAATACCAACAGCGAATTGAACCACCCTGTCGAGGAATCGCTTCGTCGTACTGGCAAATCTTTCTGTTAGAGCTGTCTTCCACGCACCGCTTGAACACTGGGATAGGTGTAAATCCTTCTCTTCTATTTCACATCGATGAAAAGTCTCTTTTTTGAACAAAAAAATTAAAAACCAATACCGTGTCAGACTAGAGGCGATTCATTAAACAGCTAGTTCCCTAGTCAATCCTAGTATTGCTATCGCTTTCATCCCTTCATGTTTCAGCCTTGTTCTGGAAGTGATTCGACAGCCTCGGATAGTCGAAATCCACAAGATGTCGGCGGAAGTATCTCTGGGTGATTTTGTCAAAATCACCTGCCTGGCACTTGCCAACGGGAAGCCGAACATTTCCATTGACTTTAGTGCCACTGCCGGCAGACGTCCATGGGGATCTACTCTTGACAATCGGCAGGAGCAACAGCGGGAGTCCCTTGAAACTGGCAGTCCTGAAGACGTCCAGATGGCTGGATGGCGCTCCTTAGGGGAATCCTATCGACTGAGGATTCATCGACCTCCAGTAGATCCCAGCAAGCCAATGCTCCATAAACTCGTGGTTGATATTCGTGGTGAGTATTAGATAATACTATATCATCAGCCAACTTCTTTAACTTTGGTGTCACCGATTTGTAAGATTGTGTTCACACAGTGTTTCAGTTAAGGCTTCAATACCCTTCAGCTGCCTGCCTGAGTTTTTTCCTGGCTTTTCTGCGAATTCGATAAGCACTTGAGCTTCAAATGTCGCCCAAAAGCAATACCTTGGCACAAATATTGTAGCCGATTTCCCAACAAACATTCCTATTTTGTTTGGATCCAATCTACTTATTAACGCAGGACTTGAAGTTGGAGGGGTTGCAGAGTCGTATGGATTTACGCAGAACAATTACATGACTTAGAGGCTATGAATTTCGTCTTATTATAAAGTCCTACCTTAGATTAAACTTTTCAAATTATTATAGAAAAGTGGGCAGAGAAATTTTCTGACCTTATTTGATTGGCATCCCAAGGTGACACGAGGCGCCTAAACGCTGCGGTGACACGGATCCCTTATGGCTGAGAGAGAAATTTTGTTTTCTCCTAAGGGTTGTATTCATAGAAACATTATCGCAAGGCATTCCTCCTCCATATAGAAATTGCATTTCTTTTATTAATTAAAAGCAACCGGATAGATTTCATGACCAAGCAATACTAGGCATCTGCGACTAAAATAGCTGCCTTTTGGGGCTTTTTGTTTAATTTACATTAAACCGGTTTTATTTCTCATTTGCACTAATTACATTGATGAGTCTCATCTACTAAGGGTGTACTTCGTCCCGCTATTTCTCCTCACTATCTATGCACTGTCCGGTGCTTTTCTTCTTCCACCTTCAGTAAGATGAAGGGGAAGAGTAAAACGTTATGATTTTATATGCCTACTTTGGCATTATCAGATGAACCACTTTTCTCGTTCATTATATGAGTAAATGGCAATATTTGCCTTGAATAGCTGAGTTAGAATGTGTTTTGGCCTCATGGGGTTGCAGAGAAAGAGACAGGGGACTTTTAAGTAAACTCGAAACGCTTTTGTTGATTGAAAAAAAAGGTGAGAACAGAATTGGCTTCCCAATCCAGCCTCCCGTTGGTACGTGTATCCACCCATGTCAGCGTTGGAATAACGCCCCGCAGATTGACTGTGGCATAGGAGGAATTGGTAGTGCAGCTGGACCACCAGGAAGGAGGCCACTTTACGTCGTCTTTGGTGCTGTAATGTCCACCTCTAACGCGTTCCTGCCATTTGATTTTCTAAATTGCAAAACTCCGTGCTTCTCAATGATAATACCACAGAAAACTTTGTCTCTTCTGCAATATCATGCTAGTTTATGAGTCCATTTGGAGCCCGGAATCAGGCTTCCACATGTTGAATTGGATGTTTACAGGAATAACTGGCGTATTGTTGATGGCTGGAAATGGAATCACAACAGCTGAAAGCATACAGAAGATTTTTCCGCCAGCACGCTGTACTGTGCTTCAAGTCTTCCACCAATAAGACTGCTTGTGGACTCGACTTTTTGAGGCCTTTCTCATCCTTTACAAAAAACCTCTTGCATAGAGCACGCTATTGCATACACACATGCATTGCAGGCATCCTGGTGAACGGTGCCTCTTTCAGCATACTCACCAGTTTTCATGAGTTTTGATTTCACGCACCCCACGCCATTGCGTAGTACCATCACAGTAGCCACCCTTTACGCACCTGTAATATTAAAACCACCGACCGGACTAATACGCCTCTCAATTTATGAAGGATTAGAAGTCCCGAATTGTCGTTGATGATGACGATGATGATGCGGTGGTAAATGACCCATAATTCCCGGTTTGGACAGATAGAAGGAAGTGGGGTGACCAAAATCACCGCTGATTTGGTAGAAATGTTTCCCATGTCTGTTACATGCAGGCGTTTAGTCGTGTGGACAAGAGCACTATCGTGATTTCCACCATAATAATCGGGAGACAAAGACCTCACTACCGTTGCCCTCATTTCCAGCATGCCCCGCCGAGTCAACACGGCGTGCGGCGAGTGAGCACGTGACGACTGGACTGGCCGGATGTCACACTTGTCTTGACCACATTGTGAGCATTAGCTTAGCCCAAGTTTCTCGACATTTTACTGGCCATGCAGTATGAGGTCAGCGAAAACGCACGCATCTCTGGCAGTAGGCGACAAGCAGCCAAAATGGCAATGAAGCATTCTGGTCCAACTTTTCGGTGCAACTAGGGTGGGGAGCTTTAGCACAAACGAGAAACGCATGAAGGTAGGCTTATCGAAGAATGAAGAGAATCATCTTTGATTTTTTAAGCAAAAAGTAGGCCTTATTGATAGACGATAGGGTAAGGATGGATGATGTGCCACTGCTTGCAGGCAGCTTTTTTCCGATTGAAGAAATGAGCAACTACTCCACCCGGTAGTCAAAGCTCCTCTCTTTGGCCGCATCGACTATTTGCCATACCCATCCTTTCCCTTCGAATGAAATTTAGACATTTTGACGTGACGGTGGCCAAAGAACTGTTTGGTGCTGCATTCTCGTCTAGCGGGTTCAGTCGAAACTCCGGGAGAGGGTTTCTTTTCTCCATGCTATAAATAAAGGTTTTTATACTCCCTCCCTTAAACATTTAGAATTTCCCCTTCCCTCATAGTTGTTGGTTGTACAATAAGGCCAGCTGCCTTAGCACTGTTTTTTTTCCATTACCTAGGACCATGTTAGCTTTGATTTTAATCATAATTGGGTGGGTTTATAAGGACGCGAGAAGTAACAATGCTTAACAAGTGTCATAAAGGCAAAAAATTTACGGAAATGTTTGTTTTTATCAACCAAGGACCTCTGGCCGTAAATCCAGATGATTTTTGGAATCAGTTATGCCTCGAATGACGTTTACTTACTTAATTGTTAGGTTTCCCAAATTAACAGCATCAATGCCTTTGGCTTCGCATTTTCCCGGTTCAGGCCGCTTGAAGGATGGTGAAAGAACGCGGCGGTGCGAAATTTACGCTATAAGGCATTGAAATCGTAAAGCACGACAATTTGCTTTAGGGTATGGAAGTTGAGGGTCCAACTGAGCTACGCTGGATTTGTGTACTTGCTGAAATAAATTTTGAGTACAGAGAATCCTCAAAAACCCGCTGTCCAACAACTTTGATGTCAGGTTTAGGTGTATTTGCGGACTTATGTCTATTGAAGGCGGTTTCAGCAAGCAAATTTTTGACAACCGGTCTTCAGTGGGCGTTTTCTTCTGCAGTCATCAGTGAATGAGCTGTAAGCTGGTGGAATTCCCTCATCGACGCATTCAAGATGTGGATTCCTTTGATTGTGCATATTGGTGATATGAAAAAATCCTTGTTTACCTTAAGGTAACTTAGTTTCTGTGTGAATGGTGTGGCTATCATGCCGAGGATGAGGAATGTGTGAGATGGTAAGGCAGAATAATTCATTTTGATTTGATAGAGGAGCAATGAAATAGGCTCTTGGTGCAAGCCTAGGTATGTACTTTTAAGCTGATCATTAGTGGTTAATTATGGTACCGATTTGAGGTACAGAGGATTGCAGTGCTTGGGAGAACATGCAGAGGAAATCGTGAAGCTGTAATGGAATCGAATGACTGAAATGGCAGCACAATTTGCCGAGAGAGGTTGAATGAACTCCAATGTTTTGATCACCTTTTGCGGCACTTTGTAGGAGCCCTACGCGAACACCACGGCACATACCGTTGCCGTGTAACAAACGCCGCAGGTCAGGCCCAACATATTGGACACCTTAGAGTTCGCTCCGAACCCGACCTCACCATCCAGCCGCAACAATCTACCTACTTCCTCGCGCGTCAACCGCTGAGCATCTCCTGCCTTGTTTCAGGCTATCCATTGGCTGGCACCAACCTCTCCACACTCCAATCACCTTCTACAGACGAAGCAGCGGCATCGACAGTAACGGCATCGGCGGTGGCGGTGCTGGGACCGGCTAAGGGAGAGGCGATAGCCCAACAACAACAGTCGCAGCAGCAGAAAAACATTAGAATTCTGCAGGGGGCTGAACGAGTCTCACCAGTGCGTCTAGTCATCCTCAAGGCTAATAGACGCAGAGAACCTCTGGTCTCGGTGAAGCTGACGGATCTGCGAGTCGGTGTCTATGAAGGGTGCGTGATTGTGTGATCAGTGTGGGACTTTGCTGCGATCAACGAATTTTGGAAGCTGCATCACTCCTCTTAACTGTTGTCGTGGCTATTCTAGTCATTGGTTCGCCAAGAATTTAAGGCCGGAATTGTCAGTGCCAATCAATGTGTGATTACGGTTTGGGTCAGGCCTAGCCAGCGACCTTGAAGAGACTTTTTCTCTTTTCAAACAATAACCGAACATGAGAGAATGGTTTTGCACCAACCGACAGTTTTTGAGAATTGAGTAGGTACTGGATGATTTGGACGTTCCTAACATTTGTTAAAAGATTTATTGGCGTTGAAGTTCTTGACAAAATGACATCATGACGGACCTTTTGCGCCGCATTTCTGACTGATTTACATTGCGAAAGCCCATCCAATCAATTACAAATGATAGCTTTGGGAATCCCACCTCTGTTTTATACTTTAGTTCACAAAGTACAAGTTTTCTGGCCAATATTTTGAGGAATAATTTTCTTAATTTTAGCAGGTCTACTTTGGTCGCCATAAAGCAGCATCTAGCAATTTATTGACTTTCGTGTAGAATTCTCCCATTCGGTAATGCAGAAGGCTGCTAAGTAAGGTCCTTGTTTGTTATTGCTAGAATTGGAAATCTTTTCGCTTGATTACCGGTGAAAGCTACTTCTATGAAATGCAATTGTTTTACTGTTCATTTTCTGCAGAGGTTCATAGCTACGCCGAAGGCAAAACTTACTGAGTGGCTTTAACTCGTGTTGAGGACGTTGCATTACGGTGTTGGATCGCTTTAAAATGATGGAGTTATCCGAGTATTAGATGAAGAATTAAACACTTTTTTGTACGCCGAACACGGTTGACACCACTGTGTTTGGCCCGTTTTCCGACCCTTTCAGAGTGCGCGGTATCATCTCGTTTGCACACACCGATGTGCTCTTTGCATCTGGGCTGTTCGTAGGCTCAAAAAGGGTAGTTGTTACACATTTTAATGTAATGGTGGCTTCCAGTCACCATTCTTAACTTTTTACTTATGTAATTTACGAAAGAGGCGATTTGGCACGTACTATTCAAGTCCGTCTGAGAAGGAAAGAAACCACTTCAAGGTGTTCAGAGTGCATGTATTTGTCCACGAAGTTGCCTTCTGCAAAATGCTTGTACTTATCGAAACATTTAGCTAGAAGTCGAAAGACAAATTTGACCTAAAAAGACTTACCATTGAGAGTGATTTATCAAAAGGGAGGCCACTTCGCATCGCCATCAGTTCAGGTGGCTGTCATGGTTCTCAGTTTGGCCTACCTTCTTGAAATTGCAAGGGGTAGAACTCGTGAATAATTGCTCTCATCGCGCCCAGGAGTAAATGTCTCACGTGCCAGCTGAATATTCAACGAAATGAATGCAAAGACTCCGGCTTCGGAAAGAGGTAACAGATTTGGGAGCATCTTTGTTTTACTGCTTGGGAGCTGAGTGCCTTGGGTTATACTCCCTTACGAGTGGATGTCCGCAGAGTTCACAGCTACATTAACACTGATGCTTTCGTTCAGCATTGCGTACTGTTGTACGCATACAAAACCACTGTTGCTAAGCCCTTTTGAAAAATGATACCTGGACTTTTCTCCAACATACATGCCTCCTGTGGAACGGCGGCGGTAAACGTAAAGCCAAGACAAGATAAGCACACCTTATCAGACGACTTTGCCGTATTTTCAAGCGGAGCCAATGGGAGTTAGCAATGCAAGGGTGAATAATGCATCCACTTGTTTTTACCATGGCAGCCAGTGCAGGAGACACGCTTCTGCTAATTAAGCACGAGCTGAAATATATATTTTTTTTGTATTTTGAGGATGACTATTAACTTTTGCAAAGCAAATTGATTTTGGTGTGGATGGTTTTTTTTCTTGTGATTGGTTTGTTGGTTGGTTGTGAAGGAGAAAATGCTGCCAAAGGGGCACTCGATGTGCAACAAGTTCCAGTGCTTGATTTACGGTCCGTAGAACGTGTCGTATTCCCTAATCAAGTGACAAGAGACATTGGTAATTTGAATTTGTGAAATGCCAACAAAAGTTGACTTCGAAGTCGGTGTCACTTTAACTCCCACACACTCGAGAACTGGGTGTACTTAATGTCCTATGCTTTTAGCATAAAACGAAGTTTTCTGATTTGGGTAAAAAGCTTTCATTCGGATATGTTATTCACCAGAAAATGATAAAATTGAGTTTGCACAAATGACAACTGCAGTTGTCGCGAAGAAGTAATTGCATCCAAGAGGAGCGGATCATTCACAACTATTCCTAGTGGAGTTGTCACCTTGGTGGAGACGTAGACGATTTTGTTTGTTTTTTCCTCCGTTTGAAATGCCACTTCGCATTGTTGACGTTGATTGAGAGATGGCTGCTTGGATTTACCACAATTTCTTAAACAAAACTCAAGATATCTGAAAAAGGGGCCGTTATTTTGAAAGAATTGTTCACTTTTCAAGCGGATTGACTATTTTCTATCGGATAGAAACATAAATTTTACCTTTGAGCGTTCAAAGGATGCACAAGTCTTGGAAATTGACTCCCATTGTACAAAGTTTTGCCACTTTGAGCACGTGAATCAGCGAAATAACCCACAGAATCGTTCAACCCTTGTCATTCTGTACTGGACGCCAAAATTTCAACACTTGAAGTAATTTGACAAATTTCCCCTTCTCTCGCATTCATTATGGAAGTTGCAGGTCGTAGGAACTTGACCTTTCGGCCAAAATCAATCACATCAGATTGGAGGGTCTTTTTTGCTGTTAAATGCCACTTGAATGTAGCAATGAGGACGGCTTCGTGTCTAAACTGGCAGACTGCTCTCGAGAGTACTCGCTATTGATGGTAAATGAGTGAATGCCAGTATAGCGAAATCGCAACCTGATTCTTAATTTATAAAATTTGCACGCAGGTGTCAGTAATGCCTGTCCAATGGGCGAGTGTAGTTGTATAGCGTCCCGAGACTCCCTGAAGACGAAAGAAGACAAAATACTCGGGCAGAATATGTATATTCAGCGTAGAGAAGGTGTCTGGACTATTGGCATGGCCCGAAAGGCCAGCTCACCCAGCGAGGTACAAGAGGGCTAATTCAAATGTCCAAAAGTCGCGCCTCACCAATACCAGGAGATAAACCACTACCTTATTACAGTTGGGTCATGACCTGCACTAATGCGACACGCTCATTCATTTACTTATTCCACAATAGGACTAGTTAAACACCAATGGCTTTTCTAGAGAACATTTGTCCAAAGGAATGTCCATTTGCTGAGGAACACTTCTCACTGGATGTTTGACACTGTCTTGTCTTGATTTCACTCCTATAATCTGCCTAGTCTACTTTCTCGAGGCTGTCCATCGACGTTTTGCCTTACTTAAAGACAACCTTTCAAGCCAGATCTCGCTTCATCGATGGACTTGCAGAACATAAAAATTTTGCATTTAACGAACAATAAACATTGTCTACTGCCTGAAAGTCTCCACTATCTCAGACACCTATACATAATTGACCCCGCTTTCCTATGATGAAATCGGTTAAGCCTTTCAAACGTAAGCCTTATTTCAAAGTGTAGTGCAAAATATCATATTCTCTTTCAATGACTAACCGTTCGGGTTGGGCCGCTGGGTGGAAGCATTTGTTATTTATGTACGAATGGATTGAGAAAGATGACCCCACTTCCTCTCGATAGACAAACACTCACACAGCAAAACGGAAGCGCATTAGCTCTTTTTAGGCGGAAATAAATTTGGCCATTTTCCCAAGTAATAAGCATTAGATACGTGCAAATCTCGATCGAGGATGAAAGTCGGATTATCTTCTCGCAAAGAAGATGAAAAAGCCTCCATCTTTGCATTACAGAATCAGATGTAGATGTCAGCGGCCTTTTGCTATGACACCTAACCCACGTTAGTAGATGACAACAAAACGAATTTATTAACTGATCTAGTGATGGTCGCTAAATTGCAGATTCTCCGAGGATATTTGTGTGTCTGTGTGAAAAGAGGCCTTTTTTTCATCACTTTGACGTTTTACCTCATGATTCGGGTAATCAGGGCGTCCTGTTGGATGGCAGTCGAAAATCTCTTGTACTTTTTACCTCTAGGAGGAGTATCAGAAAAGGTGGAAAAATTAAAATGAAAGGCGAAGTCTCCAGCAAATCGTAACAGGAACGTCCTACTGGTGTTGTAGAGACTCCCCAACAGGTAGCATTGGGTAGAATTCTTAGAGGCACTGTAGTGGAGGAGGTTTAGTCAACATACCGCTGTCTGTTCGGTCCTAAGGTGAGATTTTCAAATTTTTTTGTTTTATTCCTCCAACGGCAGGTCTTGCTTGGTAATTATCTTATCATCACACCTTTTTTGAATATTTAATGTGTCTTTTAATGAGTAGAGTCAATTTCTCGAGTCAAATATGCTTAATGCATCCTGTAGCATCAGTTAGGGCTGCTTACGAACACTTTTTTGAAAAAGTCGTTTAACTACTCCTTTGAAATTCATCTTTTTTGCTTATTTTCGAGCTCCTGAGATTAACTAGAGAACGGGCTAGATAATAGTGGAACAAGTATTTTCAACTCTTCTTTATGTGAAAACAATAACTTGGATGATGCATTACTTTGG